GCTCGGCTGTGATCGGGAGCTGTACGGGCTATTGTGAATAGCCCGTACAGCACCCCCTCAGTTCTCCTGAACCGAAGGGGTCCTGGGGCCGAAGCTAGCCGAAGGATCGGCCGAAGCTACGGCCAGATCCTTCGGCAGCTTTGGGAATAGACCCCTTAATGGCAATAATAAAGACTGAAGGAAAATGTGAACACTATTTCATTCTTTTTTTCTGTCTTTTCTTCTTCTTTTCAACAATACTTTTCCTTTGCTCCTCATTCTACTGTTAGTGCTTGTACTGTTGACCCTTTCAGTGCCATTGCACAAAGCTAGAAAGACTTAGAACAGATTAAAAACAGAAAACAAATAGAATGAGCAATGCATAAAAACAATGGAAATCCAAAGACCATTGCTATGTATTTATGGTAAAAAAGTAGATTTTTGTTTTACATGAAAAATGAATGGATAGAAGTTGTAGCATGGGGATACACAAGCACACCATAGAAGATCTGTTCCTATTTACTTACTACTGTAAGAAAGGGGAATAAAAATAGATCAAAGACCTAATAAACAAACTCCCATTTGCACAATCTTGAAATGTTAGCTTGAATAATGCAGCACAAATTTTCCCCGCAAAGAAAATAAAAAAAAAAAAACATGAAAAAATCTGTAATTACTGCCTTTGCCTATTTTGGTCAATAGGTTGTTTAATTGCAGGTGCTTTTTATTAAATGTCGGGATTAACACAATTCTGTCAAGGCTTTTGCACAATGGAAATCTCTTGTATTAGAAATGCAACAAGCAACTTGGAGCAGAGAAATAATAATCAAGAAATTTAGCACAACCATTGTAAGATTTGGAGACAGAATGTGCTACCTACCCCGTGAAAGCCTTGAACAGCAAAACAGAAGCCTGTTCAGGAAATGTAGCCAGAGTACATTGCCACAGGTAACCAGAACTGAATGTCAGAAGTAGAGAGTTTTTACCTCAAACTAAAAATGTAGTCATAAGAAACAACAGCTCAGCAAATGAAACACAGCAAGGCCCCATTAACATCTGTGCAGTACATTAAGACATTTACGTGGGCTGCCAACACACCAGAATGGAAACAAAATTGCACCTGCAATATTTTTGCATACCACAAAGCATTCCAGTGCAACATATTTGCGTTCCTATTTAAATGAACCGCACCGCAATGCACTAATGCATACATGGTTCGCTAGTGTGCACAAGCCGGCCAATGGAGCACACTTAACAACAATGAAAATCTGACACCAAATAAGGTGTACATGTTCAGTACATTGATAATCCACCGAAGCTCAGGTCACAGGGGCTGGTATTACCAACTCTCCCAAAATAGCCTTTTTGTCATATCTGGGTTGTACTCCCATATCTCTAAGACTGTGCTTTTTGTTTTTCTGCCTATGAACACTCATCTTGAGATCTTGGCGTTCGTCCACACCTCCTACCCTACACGAATAGGTGGCAGATTTTAGCTTGCTGATAAAGATGGAAAACTTAATGGCCCACCAGGACAATACCCAAGACAATTTCAGTAATCTCCGGGTCCTGTGGATTCACTTCATAAGCTGTGCATAGTTTAGATTACTTTAACTACACCATAGGAATGTCCCCTTGGCACAATTGATCTTACTAGCAAATCTCTCAGAGGGCCCTGAGCACCTTTGTATCAAAAATGTGTCGAAATTTCCTTGCCATGGAGGCATCTGAGCGTTGCTTGCGCCTTATCAGATCCTTCAGAGCAATCAGCCACCATCATTCTTATATGAACTAGAGTCATCCTGCTCCTCCCTCTCACTTATCTCCTTTGGGCCCCATGTCTTTGCTCCTTTGTTTCCTATCCCTCTCCCTTTTTTTTCATCCCCTCTTGTCTGTTTACCCTGCCCCCTTCCTTGCTTCTCTGGGCACTTCTCACTCTCCCCTTCCCCTTCCTCCATTTCTGATCTTGGTTTCTTGGCAGCACGGGGAGACATAGTGGCTCATGTACAGTTGCTAGATGAAGCTAGAGGAGCCTAAGAATTTCCTATGCTGCCTGGGCCCACTTAGTGGCAGCAATGCTGTGTGAATGGCATTTGCCCAGAAAAAATGTTGGGTGAAGCTTTCATGCAGCAGCCCCATATTGTGGCCATGCTTTGTCTCCTAAGGACATGTCACTATGTTTTATCGTACATCTATTATTCATACAGAGTATCTGAAATGTAACCTATTCTGTTTTCAGGAAATCTTTTTTATTTGTATAAGTTGTCCTATGTGTACTGTGTAACTACTGTACCCTCCTCTTTTCCTTAAAACAAATCTAATTATTTAAAAAAAAAAAAGATCTGGAGCAAACAAGAAGTGCAGCAACACCTGCTGGCATATGAGTATGTGTGGACAGGATTCTCAAAAGTGTAAAAGGACGACACAACAGAGGGAGCTACAGGTTAATGAATCCAGGAAGTAAATCTAATGAAATTAAAAGAAAGCCAAGAAAAAAAATGTCAGTAGGATTAAGGAGGACTGATTTGCAGCCAACTGTTGGCACCTAATGGCACCTTAGATGCCCAACCACAATGTGGGCAACCAATGACTGATTGGCTGGATTAATGCAGAGTTGCTGAATTTCTTGCATGTATTTCAGCTGTGTGTTTAGTTTGATGTTTACCATTACATGGAATCTATGAGGTGAGTGATTTCCACTCATCCTTAGTTAGAGCCGACCTGTGACAAAGAAGCTGCCACAGGTCGGCTCTATCGATCGTGAAGTGAGAAGAAACCTGCAGCCAATCCGCTCATTTCCTGATCGTCTCCCTGCAGTGACCGGTGACTGTCAGTTAGGCAGAGCAAGCTGTCACTCACGCAGCTGGGTGGATCTCGACAGTAATGTCGGGATCCGTCCCGGCTGCGATGCTCTCAGTATATCACAGGCCAAAGCCAACGATATACTGAGCTTTGGGTCACGGGAGGAGGTTAGTATATGTCCTCCCGTGACCCTAAAGAGAACCATGGGGAAAAACACTTACCCCATAGTTCTCTTAACTGCTAAATAGGTTATTAAGTTGTATACTGTTGGTCATTCTAGCCAAAATGTGAGAGATGGCTGCATTTGTAAATGTAAGGATACCTTACCGACCAGTGTTCTTATACATACAATAATTTACATACAGAAATTCAGTTGAAGTCAGTATATTTTTCCTTGTAGAATTTTGCATTAACATATTGTGCAACTAAGTATGCTTATTAAGCACTAAAATGAGGAACTCAAAAGATAGCAGGCACACTTTATATCCAAGAATTTGAAGAAGAAACAAAACTAAAAAATACTACTACTCCAAATGTTCAATATAATGTAATTCTGGATTCTGAGTATTCTTATTGCAT